TTTGTGACTGGTGAAGGGCACCAGCAAACCAGATCTGAAGGGCACTGATGAAGCTGGCAGTACCTGTTCAGAATGCAGGTGGGGCATATCTTGGATGCTCAAGATGTCTGTTACAGATGATATCTACTTCTCTGCTGGCTGTGTGGGTGAGCACAGCATGCTAAGGAGGCACTATTTGAGCAGAAATTCACCCCTTGCTTTCAGCATGAGTCTTCTGAGGGTGAGATGATGGGGCCAGACTCTTAACAGGCACTGCGTGAGATCAGGTGTGTGCTCACATACGGGCTGGCAGCCCTGTGAAAACACACCAGGGCTGCCAGAGAGCTCTGCCTGCCCTCGCTTGATGAGCTCCAGGACGAGGGAGCTTTTGACGCAGCTGTAAAGCAGCTGCAGGAAAGCTGAGCACCAGATGTCATTTGTGCCTCTTGACATATTGCTGTTACGTGGGAGCAGAGGCTGAACACAGCGAAGCCCAGACCTCTCCAAGCCTTGTGTGTGCTTTGATGCTTCGCAATCGGGGAGCTGCTAGAGATCAGCTTGTCCTGCCCGTTCCTCAGCGCTGGGTGGGCGTTAAGGTTCGCTCCGCCCTAAGCCACGCCGGCAAGGGGGTTGCAGCCCCGCCGCGGACTACATCTCCCAGCAGCCCCCGCGCCGCTCCGTTCCCGCCCTGCCCCGCGCGCCCAACAGCCGCCGTTTGAAAAATGGCGGCTTACGCTGAAGGGCTGCCCGAGGAATGGCTGGTCTACCTCGTCTCCACCCGCGCCGCCACCTTCCGCAACTGGCCCTTCACCGAGGGCTGCGCCTGCACGCCCGAGCGGGTGAGCCTTCCCGGGCGGAAGCGGAGGGATGGGGATAGGGGGGGGCGGCGGGGTCCGGGTGGCGCTGACGGCCTTGGCTGTGCCCGCAGATGGCGGCGGCGGGCTTCGTGCATTGCCCTAGCGAGAACAGCCCCGACGTGGTGCAGTGCTTCTTCTGCCTCAAGGAGCTGGAGGGCTGGGAGCCCGACGACGACCCGCTGTGAGTGGGGGGGGGGTGGGGCCGGGCCGGGCCGGGGAAGGGAGCGGGCGCCGTTACGAACTTGTTGGACGTTGTTTTTGTGGTTTTTTTTAGGGAGGAACACAAAAAGCACTCCGCGGGCTGCGCTTTTGCCGCTCTTCAGAAAGATCCCGCTAAGCTGACAGTGCAGGAGTTCTTGAAGCTGGATAAAAAGCGGGCCAAAAACGTAATTGTACGTACCCCTCGGCAGCGTGCTGTTTCCCTTACCGCCGAGGCTGGAAGAGCTGTTTGCTTTCCGGGCCCGGCTCCCTGCTGCCGCCCTGCCCTGCTTCCAGCCCTTATGGGGCCCTGGTACCGACTGGTGCCCCGTGCAGTAAGGCAGCATAAGGCTTTGTTTTCATTTGCAGAAAAAAGCGATTTCTCAGAAGGAGACTGATATCGAAGATGTAGCCAAGGACGTGCGGCACGCGATAGAGAACATGGGCCCTTAGGCCCCTGTGCTGGGTGTATGTGCCTTGACACTGCCATGCTGTCTGAAAAGCTGTTTCCTGGGACCACTTCTGCAATGGCCACACCTCTGAGTAGCAAAACAGCGCTGAATTCTTCTTTACTTATCTGAGTCTGTCTGAGAAGTACCTGGGATGTGGTGCATTGCATAGATTGTCTTTTTCAGCAGGGATTCTTTTATTCTTCCGTTACTGGTGCTTTTATTTGTTCTTTTTTAAATTCTGTTTTGTAAACTCAGTTCTTCCCATTTGAGAAGTGCTGGTAGCCCTGCTGCAAAAACTTGTGAGAGCTAGCAGACCTTTCCATTTTTGTACTGAATGCTACTGGTACTTATGGTTACTTTTAGAAATAAAAAGGATTGAAACTCCTTTAGGGACATATGATTGTGGTGGCAAATAATGTCTAGTAATACCAAACCATAGTGTGCTTAGTATCCTTACAAGTTTTTGTTAGACTTGGCTGTTGTCTCATGTAGAAGCATTTATAAGTAAAAGAGGAAGGCAATGCAGCAAACTGAACGCAGTTTTAACCTCACAATGGAAAAATAATGGTATCAAAGCCCAGCTTGCAGTGCTGTTGCTCAGGTGTCAGACTGTCTTTAGGAGCAGTCACCAGGTTGCCTTGAAATGTTGCTGTGCCTTGTAAGACAAGGTTGGTCATTCTCCTTGTGTAAGTTAGGGAAGGAAATTTCACCAGTGCGCAGACAGTGAAGAATTATGTTCTGAACTGCTGGGAGTAAGTGGGAGAATATTTTACAAAATAATCAGTTTATTGTATGATTCAGCAAAGTCTGCAGGCCAAACTGAACTGGATGTGCAAGTTTAAGTTCTCTTGAATTTGGAGAACCTTGAGCTCCATCTTGGAGAAAAGGCAGTTGTAATCAAATGCTGACAAGACCAGTGTCCCTTGGTTTTGTGAGGCTATCCAACATTCCCTGTCCAAGCTCACTTGCAAACAATGAAATAATTTCATTACTTCCAGCTGTAACAGCCAAATCATATGCCGATTGTCCTTTTGTATTCTTCTTTTTAATACTTGCATTGCAGCTGTAAGTAAAGAATAGATTGTTTTAAGCTACTTAAATTCATTCCAAGTTACTGGAATTAGCTGAGTTGCTTCTATGTAGGCACTGACGTGGAGTCGCTTAGACTTTCTGGATGCCTCTTCCTGCAAGGCCAGCTGTGAGGGGGCAGCACTGAGTGTTGAGCAGGCTCTTGTCCATCACCACTGCTGCTAGATCTGTGCAGGTACACTGGGTGGATGCCCAGCTGCAGCACTTACCGTAACAGGGCTCGGATACATTCCTTTCCCTCCAGTCCAAGCAGAACTGCCTCATGCAGAGCGGTGTTGTTGTGCCTGCAGGGAAGGAGTCAGCAATGTACTTCTTTGCTAAGGAAACCCTGGTATGCAAGGAAATGTTACAACAGATTAAACTAAGGAAAATTAATAGGAATAGAATATACAAGAAGTTGCACTGATTTCTTTTGTGTGCTTCGATGTGGTTTAGTGTATTAAGTTGAAGTTGATGGGAAAGAAATTAAATAGAACAGTAGATTTTCTAATTGAAATGATACAGGTACATTTTTGGTAAAGACCCAAGGCAGAGAACCACAGCTCACTTACAGTCCTGACTGCTGGTCAATGTCAGCACCTTTCTGTACAAGAAGAGAGATCACTTCTGCATGCCTGTTAAGGACAGCCACCGTCAGAGCAGGTCGGTCCTCAGTGTTGGTGCAGTTTGGGTCAGCTCCCTAGAATGTGCAGGAGGAAGGTAAGTTGTTACAAGCCGTGTTTTTCCACTGTGCTTTCACATTAATATGTTACATCAATTTATATTGGCAAGTGGTCTCTATTTTCAGGACAGAAATATCCAAATTATATTATTGATTCTTCATGTTCTGTCTGAAAACTGTTGTCTCCTAGCTCAGAACCAGAGTATGTGTATGCAACAAGGGCAGTCCAAGCAGATTCCCACAGTCAAGCTGCACTTACTCTACAGCCAAAAAGCAGAGGATGTGTGCTTTGTTTCTTTTCTGCGTAAAGGACTCTACCTCCAACACTCATTTTTTCTTTCTATGTGGCCTTGTGAAACCTAGAGGAGAATGCCTTACAAACCCGCTAAATGGAAATCTGGGGACAAATAATACAAATGTAAAGTAGACGTTTCTCATTTAAAATGTTCCTGAAGATGATTGTACTGTGAGGAGGCTACCTCCTAAGTGTGAAGTTGAAATCACGTGCCAGGCTAATATTCATGCAGTAAGTGGCCAAAGATTTGTAAGGTGAAATGGTAACTTACTTCACTAAGCAACTGTTCTATCAAGGTGATTCTTCCTTTCCCATTCGTACCCAATTCATCCAGTAGTTGCTGGGACTCTGGCTGTGGAAACACAGGGAACTCCCTTACGTTTCACATAGTGGAAATACAAGTAGGATATCTGCATTTGGGTGATGACTGGGAAATGCACACAAAATGTTGTTGAGGGAAGACTGCAGTATAGCTGAGCCTGCATTACCTCAGACCCTTCTGTGGGAATTTCTTTCTGACTCTGAACAAATGTTGGATAACCCAGGCTAATATCTCGCTACTCAAGTCTTCATTGTAAACAGATCTGCAAATGATTAGCTTCACATCAATACACCTGTCCAGAGCTGGACAGAGACTTTCTCACAACAGTCAAATTAAACACAGCATTAGTTCTTTCCTATAGAATCAAAGTCTGAAGCTTCCAGAACTTGTGGGAGCGTGTTACTTACAAAATGTTACAGAACTTATTTAACTAAATACTTAACAATACCGACACCTTTTTCATTTTATTTCTTTCCACCCTTTCACTTTCTTCCCCCCTTTTCAAAAGCCCACGCACTTGACAAACCATTTTCATCTCTGGACTCACATCGCAAAGCTTTACATCTTCCACCTATTGAGTAGGCTGAGTGATCCAAGCACAGATAACTGCACATTTCCCTCTTGAAATAATGAATAAAAGAGTAGGCAGTGCTTCCTGAGTGCTTGGTCTCTAGTGGAAATAGAGGTTTGCTTTTTGCATTAGAGAATGCCTTAGCCGTCTGGCATCTCAGCTTGATGAGAAAACTGAGCTAATTTAAAACTTGTTGCATAGGTTACGTAACCTGTCTTGTTTACAGTTAGACTTTATACAGCAGCTACAGCACGGGATGTTCTGTAGGGTCAGAACCTGGAGGCAACATCGAGGGAAGATGGTAATGCCTCCATCAGATGTTGCTTTTTAGAAAAACCTATAAGAAATCATTCTGCAACAGTATTTACCATTGTGTCATTAAGATAGAATGAATCCAAAACCAGGAATAGTCTCATTAAGCTTTTGGTAGGAAGACAGCTTGACCATTTTCAGTTTTGAAATAAAGGTCAGCCATCAATTTTCAGCTTTTGAATTAAGTTAGACTTCTGTCTCCTTCCTCCCAACTCCATTTCCCCATGTCAGCTTTCTATTTTTATCCTTGGGTGCCCTTTTTCTTGTTAGTGCTGCTCCATATCTAGTTTTTCCTGTACCAGCAGAAGATACGTACCAGGAGATTATCTTCTTTTTCTGTGAGTGTTCTTGATTTTGTTCTCTTTATTTTGCCTCTTGAATATGAAAGATTATGATCTTCTTTGCCTACCAGAAAGGGAAATGAGCAAACAATTCAAAACAGAGTCAGTATCCTAACAAGAACTCAGGGAAAAAGTCTGGAAATAATTGATCCAAAAATATTTCATTTTGTGCTGAAATGAAAGTGATATTTATCAGTTTTCTACAAGAGAAAGTGATGAAACATTTGTTGCAGATCAGACTGGTTTTAACAAAAGGTTTGCACTCGAGCAGACTTAAAAACTTGCTGTTTTGAAATGAAGATTCAGTGAAATATGGAGTTGGAGTGTTTGAATCTCTTAGCTAGCTGCAGCTATTCATTGAGTTTGACTCGGATTAATTGTTTTGACTAAAAGCCTTAACAATTCTTTCAATGCTTTTTAGTTCCCAAATAGTTGAGAACAAGACTAGAGGACATTGAGAATATATATGTACATCCAGTGTTTTTAAAATATATATGCCTCTGTGCAGGAGGGCATTGGAAGATGGAAGTTAAGTGTCACTGAAAACTAGGTCTATAGTTAATGTATTTCATTTCTTATGTTTGCCAAACATACCAAGGCTGAAGTCCCTGGCAGAGCTCAAATGTAGAGATATATTGGCTCCTATTGGAAAACAATACACAAAGCAGCTGCAGTTTTCATCACTAGAATAAAAACATTGCTGTGGCCACAGTTCATTGGCCTTTCCAGCTGTTCTCTGGCTATGAGGCAGACCTGTGAGCTTTTGACAGTCTCCATTGCTGAAATCACAACTCAAACAGAATTTGACACTTAAAGATCAAATTAAGGTACAGAATGTGCACCTTATGTATGTTTGCCTGTCCCAGAATCTAACATTCTAAGCAGCAGTTCCTTATTCTTGACTGCAACATTTATATCACAGTGACAGGAGTAAAGATTCTTACCAGAACTAGGCTGACTGCCATCCTGTTCATCTCTGCCCTCTGTTACGCTGGTCAGGTAATGATTATTGAACTTGACTGGTTTGGTATGAACACCCTGTAGAATGATCAAATGCAGGAAGTTAATCAGATGATGCTATTACAAACTTTGTAGCACAAAAACAGTGGTGGTGCACATTTGAAAAAAACAGCAAACAAGTAGGCTTTCAATATCAGTCTCAGATTACACAAGTATCTGGAATTGAACAGTTTTCTGGCAAGATAATGCACTGTTTCCTTCTAAACTATGTGATAGTGTCTTCTGATTTAAAAAAAAAAAAAAAAAAAGTGATACAACTTCACTTATTGAAATGAAGATTCTTGTCCAAATGAAAGTGCCTCTACCAGCTGAAAGATCTGATTCATTCCTCACTTGTGAAATGCTGTGATGCAGCTTCTCAGGCTGAGCTCTTGAAGATTCTACACAGGAGACAGAGTCTGAATTTTGAATCTTTGAGATGGCAGACTTCCATCTTTGAAAAGCTGGTTTTTGTAACGTGGTGATTCTGGAGGTAGGGATTTTGAGTGTTTGAATAGTATTATAGGAGATCTGGTAAATCTCCAAACTACTGAACATTATTATTAACTGTGTTGCTGAAGAGCACAATATGTAGATGGAAGGAGGTTCTAAGATAAGGTGCTAAGAGGTGCTAGAATGACTGAATATCATCACTAGGAAGAAAAATGTAAATATTAATAGTAAACTAACAAAATGCAAAATGATAGCAACACGACTGTGAAGTCTGGCTTTATCAGATAAAGATACCTGTTGAACCAGCTCCAAAAGAAAACAAAGAAGATTCCTTTCTCTGAGGTGAAGAATTAACATCCTCTGAACAAAATAATACCTTGTTTATACCTGAATTTAAAATATATCAGTGTTACCCTGACTGCTCTAGCAACAACTTTACACCAGCTGCCTGACGATGGGCCTCATCCCCCAAACTGACCTTGTTAATAGCAAGAGCATAATTTAACGTAATAGTGACTTGATGGTCGTTCTCATGGATGGCAGCAGAAGTAATCTGCAGGGAGAGAGCAACCAAGCAACTGTTAATATCTCTTACAAAAGATACATAACAATGAGTCATGGCAATGGGCTGTCAGTATCTATTGTGGAGCCAATACATAAAATCACACATTACTTTTATCTGTTTCTAATACAATAGGAATGCTTCCCATTTAACTGAGCTAATATTTTGAGTAGCTGGGAACGTCAGAATGACTGAAATGCCAAATGTCTGTGTTCTGTAAGAGTACAGTCAATTTCAACCTAGATTTTGCAGTTGTGTGGAAGGTCGTGTTGTTAAGATTCTTTATGCCAAGAGAAATGACTGCTGCTTTAGTTATATCAGTCTGTAGAAGTGCCATCTGTCACAAAACATTGGCAACTTTGAAAAAAAGTTGAGAGGGTACTGCTTACAAAAAGGTCTTGAAGTTACTTATATGTAAGCTCAGGGGATTATAAAGAATTGAAACAAATGTGATACGGTAATATTGCAGCAGACCGAGAATTTTAAGATAAGGTTGGTTATGTTTCCAGTCTTCATTACAACTGAGAAAGAGGCTCAGATAGTTGGCATCTACTTTGAATAACTTCTGTTATTTTTGGGGACAGTGGTTTCAACATATTAGAATGACAAAAGCCCAGGAAAGCAGCAGTAGGCAACTCAGGCTTTCCGACATCACTAGCAAAGGAAACAAGTTGCAGTGGACCTATACCTCACCTGCTGTACCACCTTTATCAAACAGATATTTATAGTTGCATTACAGTTTCTGAACATGTTGGTCTACCAAATATGTCTCAGTGGGTATACAGCTCAGGTACAAAATATTTGAGGGGTTGCTAAACCTTCCAAAAAAAGAACTCTTGCCAAATAACAGATTTCTCACTTCAGTATTCATGAGCTTTTTTTATAGCAATTTCTATGTGCTATACTTGTTTTCTTCATTTTTGTGTCATATCAGTCAGGACAGGATAAGATGCATTGAGTTTGAACTGGAACAAGGTCAGACACAGAAAAGTTTTCCAGTAGCTGTGCCAGTTTAAGGAATTCCTAACCATACCTCTGCCTTCATCCCACCTCCATCTGCTTGCTGCCAACTTTCTTTTATATTAGTACTGATGTTTTTTCTTCCCAGATAGTTTTAGCCTAGGTCACTTTGTTGATCCAGTCCACGGGACATTGTCATTACCACTTGTGCTGGCATCACCTAGGAACAGTTGTGTTGGCTTCACCTAGGAAAGCCTTCATTCAGGGAGGAAGCAACTCCTTAATCCAGCAGGACTGCCAAAGAAAGCAATACAGCACCACAGCTGAACTGCAAAGGATAATTGACTGCAGAAAAGGACTGCCTCGGGCAATTGTGAAATCTCCATTGTTGGTGAGTTTTAAAAGCTTCAAAACAAACATCTGTCAGGCAAAGTTTAGACAGAGTTGAACCTTCCTCAGGACAGGGACCGAGTGGTCTCTGCCATTCAAGCTGTGTTGTCTAGGACTCTAGGAAGAGCCTCCAATTTCTACTTTCTTGCTGTTACAGTCTAATCATTTTAATGCACTTGGGTGCACTGAAGGCCCTATCTCTGGTATGAGAAGAATTCACCGTTCCACTGCTGATACAGTTTATCCTCAAAGTAGGCTATATAACCACAGAGAATTACTGCTATCTGCTGGTGTAATGCAGCTTTGAGCAGGGGCAAGCATATCACCTAAATGCTGTTTCTAGTAGGGCTCATTTAACTGAACAACTACAGAGATGTCCGTGGTCTCTTCTTGATTGCCTGCTCTGGGATTCTGTAAAAGCAGCTGAGCAAGAGCCTTCTGGCTTCTGTCACTTCTCTAACTGAAAAGAGACTGCTGTAGGCAGAAATGAACATTCAGTGACAGACTAAGTGAAAAATGGAACAACAAAAACAAAAATCTCCACATAGAAATGGGTCAAGGTCTAAAGAAAACTGAGATGCTTACTCCAGTGTTTGTCTAGCAGCCAGAATAATCTTTTCATGATGCTTTGGACTGGAAGATATTACTCCTACCTTTCCCATTCGAGGTTCTCCAACCAGTGCTCTGAATTCAAGGTTGTTCTGAGCATAGCTTCTAAGGTGAGCACAAATGTGATCCAGCTGTTTTCTCCAGTAGCCTGATGAGAGAGAGTTAAGCAGGAGAAACATCCCTGACATTATGATTAGTATGTCTTCTACTCATCTGATAATTTATTTTAAATATAGAGGATTTTCACAGAAACATAAAAAAGAGAAAAGGACTGAATTTTTCTTCAGAAAATGTAACTGATCAAGTAAGTTATACTCTTTAAAAAAAAAAAAAAAGGTGGAATACTGTCTCATCCATAAGATATAACTCATTCTTAGGGCAGCTCTGTTCACAACAAAATCATGTCTCAGAGTTCTTCGGAATCAAGACTGGCCCTGTGCAAAGAAGAAACTTTTGATTTCAGGGTGAAAGTACAATAGTACAACTAGCAACTGTACATTTTTGAACGGATTTTTAGTTGATTTGAGGTCACTGACAGCTAACAGTAAGGCAAATCTGAAAGCTGCAGACATAGTAATGGAGCCTAAATGGCATCCTGCTCTATGTGACTCAATCTCCAAATACATGCATTTCAATTATGTATGGGAGAGTGTATGAAAAGCTTAAGCATTCCCATTTTTTTTGCCTCTCCAAATCTCTAGAACATATTTGGTCTATATAAGGAAGCTTTCACTGGGTGACAGTATATAGTCCTGTTGATGCATGTACTTTCAAGCCCTTCATTAAGCTTACCGCCAAGGTAAAAGAACAGCATAAAAACTTGATGTGACAGACATTGATTTTTTCAGAATGAAATACATTCCTCAGCCCTTGGCAGGCTCTAATGGAGAATGTAGTTTTAACACAGCTGTCTGTTCTAAAGTCAGATAAAAATTAGCAAATCTGGGGTTGCTCAAAAGCAGTTCAGAATTTCTTCTCAATCTTTCCTAGTGAAAGTTGTTCTCTCACAAGTCAAAAGCTGCACCACTAACTGCCAATCCTTTATTATCTCTGATTAAATTAAGCTCTCTGACATGCTGAGTTAAGTCAGATGCTGTCTTTCCTACAGTGATGTCACCAAGATAAAATGTCACATTTTAGAGCCAAAGAGTAAGGAAACTGCAGTACTGATACAGCAGTGTCTGTATGGACAGTCTCTGCAATGAGTGATGTACTGATACCTCTGGGAGCTGTAAGATGGAGACTGCCAGAGCTCTCAACGTTTTTACCAACCCAATCTTTGTAATGCTTTTAAGAGTCTCTTTCCCTAGTTTAGTTTATTTTTCTTCTAAAATGTCTATTTCACAACACCATTCCACACAAATTCTTCACATAGACAAGCCTCATATCATATTTTTCAAGAGCTAACCCTCAGTGCCTCAGAATTCTGTTCAATAACATTTCCAACAGGCTCCATTGCTGTACTCCTTGAGCCTATCTTTCACCGTGGAATAGGATTTGTTCACTGGTTTCCAGCCCAGATACAGGGCACATTTGTCCCTGGTCTTTTAGGATCTGAGGTAATCAAACTATTAGCACTCTAGGAAGACTGCTCTAGACTCATTAGCTACAATTTTATTATTGCTGACACGCTTTCTTTTAGCTATTTTGGTGATTGGATTTCTAAGGCCCTTCATTTACAAGAGACTGGTTGGAAGACAGGCTTGTAAGGATGTCAGTCAGTGATGGCCCATGGCATAGACTGTCACCTATTGAATTAAAACAAGGTCATATGTCAGGGCTTTGTTTTGAATAAGAGTTGTTGTTCACGATCACATAAAATCAAAGCTCTTGCTAACCTTTTCCAGGACTTATAGCTGTCAGGAGAGGCTTATGATCACTCATCTTTTGCAGCTTTTCTTTGTGTAAAACCAGCTCAAGTTCCTTCTTTTCCAGCAGTTTGCTAGATGGGTAAAAAAGTCCAACGGTTTGGGTTCCTTTATGTTCTGTTCTCGATTTGGGGAAGGAAGTAGGAAGAGGCTGCCAGGCAATTTGAGCTTGAAGTGATTTAGGCTGTACAGGGTGGAGAGGAAGAAAAAGTCTAATGTAATTAGATGGCTTACAGCTAAAACAGTATAAAAATTGTAAAAGAATGACAAAGCTAGAAGGGAGAGTTATTAACAATTGTTGGTTACAGTTGTCAGTCAGTAACTATGATGCAATTTATCACAAATATTTGAGAAAGAAAAACTCTTTGTGACTGTCAGCAGAATCAGGTCACTTAGTTGGCCTTGCTAACTTTCAAGGCAGAGTCACACATTCATGAAGTAGTGCCTTATATTAGCAGGACGCAAATAATTTACAAGTACTAAGATAAAATTTCTTAAAGAATGAAGACTTTTGAAAAGCTGCTTGTTTCTCATTTTGATATTTAAATAAGACTGGATTAAAGCCTTTGGCTAAGTCCACATTTATGAAGAAGATAGTTATCAGTAGAAATATGGTTGGTTTTGCTCTTGGCGTGCTCACAGAGCGCATCTCAAAAAGGAAGTGCATAGAGTTAGGTTAGTCTGCTGTTGGTGTAGATCAGTACGTCTTTTAGCCATATTCAAGCCTGGCTTTGAATTTCTGTGTGTCTTACCTCAGAAAATCTCAGTGAGTCTCCAGAATCCATGAGAACTCCATTTTGAGAACTCAACCTTGATGGGGGCTCTATGTAAACACCACAGGACCCACAGAACCGAGCATATGGACGAGTTTTTGTACCACACTTGTAACAAGTAAAGTAGCATGGCGGAGGGTCAGGCTGGAAAGTTTAACGAGACACTTGTGACTACAGAAATACAACACACAGTTTGGGAGAGGAAAGCTATTACGTGAATTAAAAGGCAGTAAAATAACACTATCTAAAGCTATTAGATTAGAAACATTAACCAAGATACCAGATGACTAACACTGGTAGATACAAGACTGACTCTTCAGCAATCTCAGTGCCACCATATGAGAGAAACATGTTTTCTGACAGATCTAGTCCAACTCCCCTGCAATGAATAGGGACACCTACAGGTAGGTCAGGTTGCACAGAGCCCTGTACACCCTGACCTTGAATGTTTGCAGGGATAGGGCTTCCACCACCTCTCTGGGGAACTTGTTCTTCTGCCTCACCACCCTTATTGTAAAAAAAAAACTTCTTTCTTATATCCAATCTCCCTCCTTTTAGTTTGAAACCTTCTCCTGTCACAACAGACTCTGCTGAAGAGCCTGGCCTCTTCTTTCTTACAGCCCTCCTTCGGCTACTGAAAGACCGCTCTCAGGTCTACCTGGAGCCTTCTCTTTCTTCCTCAGGCTGAACAGCCCTAGCTCTCAGCCCATCCTTGTGTTAAGGGTGTTCCATTTCTTGGATCGTTTGTGTGGCCCTCCTGTGGTTGTGCTCCAACAAATCCACATCTCTCCTGTGCTGAGGACTCCACATCTGGACACAGCACTCCAGGTGAGGTCTCACAGCAGAGGGGCAGGATCACCTCCCTCACCCTGCTGGCCACACTTCTTTTGATGCAGCCCAGGATACAGTTGACTTTCTGGGCTGTGTGGGCACATTGCTGGCTCCTGTTCAGCTGCCACCCACCAGAATGCCCCGGTTCCTTTTCAACAGAGCTGCACTCTATCCTTACATCCCTCAGCTTGTGCTGATAGTAGGGGTTGCCATGGCCCAGGTGCAAGACCTTGACCTTGTTGAACTTCATGAGGTTTTCCTGGGCCAACTGCCAGAGCCCATCTGGGTTTCTCTGAATGGCATCTCATTCTTTGGGTCTGTCAACTATATCACACAGCTTGGTGTCATACACAAACTTGCTGAGGATGCACTTGATCCCACTGTTGATGTCACTGATGAAGATATTAAAGAGTAGTGGTCCTGGTACTGACCCCCTGTGTTTGCATATAGGGGAATGTTTTCAGTTTTATGTAGACTCAGCTCACAGAAACAAACAAAAAAGTATTATACTCTGGGAAAATAATCTTATCTTGAAATGCTGTATTAATAAAATACACGCTGAAAGAAACTGTTCATATTGATTGTACCATGCAAAAAATTTTACTGAGCATTCATTGAGAATGTATTTCTCTTTACTTAAGGCCTTCAGCCAAAACAGTTGCATGCATCATCTCATCTCTGGTAGCTGCCTGAAAAGACAGATGATCATAGCCCAGGATGTAGGAATGTAGGAAAACTTGAGTAATGTTAGTGTATGCTTTAACTCTTAATGAATAAGTTACTTTGGCAGAGTGCGTGGCTACTGCATCTCAACAGATGGAGTAAGGTGATGCTCACTGATCCATGGCAATTTATTTACATCTCTAAACTCTTTAGTCATTGACTAAAGTGGAGTCAAGATATAACCTCAGCCTTTATTTTTTCTTTATCCTGTGTGCTTTAAGCAAGTGTCTTGATAGTAGTAACTATGTGCTATCTGACAAGAGCTTTGCAAAGAGAAAATTGTAATTGCTGCAGCTCACAGATGAGCGAAAACAGATTGGTCAACAAAAAGACCAGCGTACCTTGGCTCCACACCAGTCACAGAAACGTGCATCACAGTGGTTCACACGATTGCATTTTGAGCAGAATACTGTCTTCCCTTGCTGACTGGTGTAAGGTGGGGGAGGATCTCTTCCCAACGTGGGCTAATAAAACAAGGTAAGCATTAGGTAGAAAACAGTTCTTACAAAGAAAAGTTCAATGGCTAAATAAGGTGAAACAGGAAAGCAAGCTGTGTTGATAACATAAAATTCAGCCTAAAGGAATTATTTCAACATAGAATAAGCAACAGACTGACTTTGCTCTAACTTGCCACTTTTGTATTTGCAAAGCCACAATAAAATGTGGTACTAATTAATTTACTGTTTGTTTTAGTACAAAATAGTGCAAAAAAAAAAATCTGCAATCTTGTTCTTTTACGGTGCATGCTTATTCATATGGCTCCATGCATAAGTATATTTGGAATCAACAAGGAGGTTTCTCTCCTGGTAAACATGTACTTTGAAATTCAAAACACAAGAGTTCTTTTTCTCAGTACCTTTTAAAAGCTTTCCTGGAGTATGTTAGGAAAGTGTGTTCAGACAGCGAATTTTCACTCAGCTGATATCTGCCACGTGGATATTTTTTTTGCACACATTCACCTCATACAAGTTATATATTACCTACTTTTTCAACTACAATTTACTTACACGGTATGCAAAAGAAAGATTTTTTTTTTCATCTGAAACTTCCAGAGGCTGAACATAGATCCTAACTAGGACAAATAGGCATAAAATGTTTTATTAGGTTTTGCTTCAGGGAACTAACAAGTCTAAACATGTTCTACATCTAAATTATTTAACAATCATAAATAGCTATATCAGTATTATTACTAATGATCAGTTAATCAGTTATTCAGGAATTACTCTTGGTTATCACCAATCAATATTAACAGTAAAGTTTGTAGAACATTGATGATTAAATGAGCATTTAACTTTCTTTCTTGGCCATTACAGAGCTCATTGTTCAAGTCACATGCCCAACTTTATGCAGTTACACATTAATGCCTACATTCAGTGAAGCAGTTAAACACATGATCTTCTTAGGTAAGTAAGTACAGATTCCTACTGAAGTTCACTTTGAAGTGACACCTCACTGGCTGTACCAGAGACCTTTGCATCTAGCTACTGATGGTTTTAAAACTCAGGATGTTGCCATAATGATCAGATTTTTACTTGCAAATTGTTATTCTCTCGTTTCTACTTGAGAATCTGAAGAAGTGAAATGTATCCTAAGCTTTTCATACAAGATTTCTCTCTCCCAAAGTAAAACTAAAATTCTTCCAAGGTATTCAATAAGCAAACTAAAATGAGATCTGAAGCAAACATCAATTTTAGAGGGAACAGTTACTTTTTTTTGTGCAGAGTCAGCACCAAATACAAACATGGGAACTTCATCTACATAGGGGCAGCAGCAGATGGAGATAACAAAAATAATGTAAAAAGCAATTTTGTTTTCACAAAGTAACTTAAATCAATGAGAACGATCTTCTAGTTCTCTATTGCAATTAAAAATAATTTGAATACCAGCAGGACTCCCATGGAGTCACAGCTACCTGTTTTTAAAGAGCATCCTGAGTTTTGACAATGGCATTTCCAGTCCTGATTTCCACAGGAGAAATTTGAAAGTATAGGATACATTTGCATAATGCTGAGCTTGTCCTTTGTGATGGTGCATCTGTGGGATCACTGATCCACAATATGGCATGTGGGTGGGATCCTCTGCTTTTGTAACATAGGCACACAGGGACATGACTTCTGCTTTGAAAAGCAAATAATTTTATGGTTTGATTTCAGTAATGCTACCGCAGCCGATACAAGCCTTACCATCTGTGTTTCAGGCAGTTTGCTTTCACAGGTCACGCAACGTTTAAGGTGAAGAGGATTTCCTGTGCCACATGCCTGACAAATTACTTTGCCCTTTTAAATAAAGAAAGAATACATTTCATACAGTATTTGAAAACAGTGAACAACAATCATAGCAAGAGGACTTTATCTTAGAAATTGCTGTGCTTATTCAGCTCTGCAAGTAGAAGAGACTAAGTCTGTGCTGTGGGCTTCAGATTTTTGTTAAGCTGTATTGCCTGATTGTCACACATCTGCATATCTTTGTGCCAGTTTTATTTTATTTAATCTACAGTACAATTCACTCGAGATCCAGTATCAATACCTGCAGACCCTTCAAATCATTAGTGTCAGCTTGTTCAGTCACTGCGCTCATGCACAACAGAGGCAGCCATATTTGCAAGGAAAAAACAAAAGCCTTGTTTTGTCAATTATGTGTTCCTGTGCTTGTCAGCCCTGCCTCAGGGGCTGCTTCACAGGGTTGCTAGGAACTTTTATTCCACTTTATTCTTAGCTTAAAGCCCTCCTTATCTGGTCAGCCTGATAAAAGATAGTTTGCTAGCCAAGATACCCTTGCCCTGTTTAATGAGGTGGATCCCATTTCTTTTAAGGAAATGTTGATCCTCAAGCAAGGTCCTGTAATCAGAGAAACTAAAACCCTTTTGTCAACAGCTCCACAACCAATTGCTGATGTGTAATATCAGTCCCCACTTCACAACCTATTCCCTCAGCAGCACGACTGAGGAAGGTTCCCATGGTCCACATGCCCGCACGTGGGGAGTATTTTGTAGGGCCAATTTTGTCCAGTTAAAGCTATCAGCACTCTCAGATCACTGACCAAGACCGCCCTGATCCTTCCAGCTGACCTCTACTGAGCACTCACAATCACATGAGGTAAGCAGAGTAATCAGAATATACTTAATACACTTTAGTGATAAGATGATCCCTACTAAATACAATTCCATGCATTCCTGTCACTGGAGCTTCTACCTCAGGTGCTCTTCAGCGTGCTGTCCTGAGCTTGTGTGTTTTTGTCTTTAATAATTATTCCTATCCAAGCTTTTTTAACCCTACTAACTCTTAATGCTGCTTTAAGGTATTTCACGTTAGATTCAAAATATCCATAGAGTTGTCACCTGTTAAAGAAATGCATGCCAGGAGTTAAATTACTGAGCTGTTATATTTATTTTCAGTTACCTTAAAGCAGGTGTTGGTCTGGGGCTGCAGTTGTGGATCTATTGGTGACTCACACACAATGCAGGTGGGCGTATTCATTGGCACGAGATGTTTGCATTCAAGACACGGTGCCATCTGAAAGAAAAAATGTATCACATCTTATTAAGGAGATCATTAAGGTTATCGTGAGATCATTAATGATACTGTGACAGTTTGCCACGATATTGTCATTAATGTCACAATATTGTATCTTCTATATCTTGCTCATTAGAGTTTCTATCAGCAGCAAAGTCAGTGGACTGACAGCAAAAAACAAAAGTTGACATTGATCAAAGAGAATGCTTTACTGATACATGTGCCAGGAAGGTGCTAAGTTACTTCACAGTCAATTTAAATGCTATCATAATGTGTGTAGGCAGCTCAAGTCGTTGTAACTATGAACTACAGAGGTTCTCAATATTTTCAGTCATCTCCTGAAACTACGGCATTGTCTCAGACAAGACATCTTTCTGAGGATACAGGAGGAAAAAAACAACACCACTGACTCATTAGATAGGGTTATTATCTCCTGGGAAGAGCTTATGGAATACAGTTACAGACATAACTGCAAAAACTCAGAGTGTTCTGACATACACACCACTGTTCAAATTTTCAGGCATATTAGATGGATCTTCTACAGCTGTGGCATAGACACTAGTTACTAGCTAACTAACCTCACTAGTTAGCACTGAAATAAGATGCATACGCAGCTCCTGAAGATGCAGTCGTTGTTGCAGGATGAGGAGGAATCTGAATTTGGTGATGTTTCCTGGCACAAGTGAATAAAATACAATTTACTTTTATAAAGTTGTCCTTATTAAAATGTGGCACCTGCAGCAATCCAGTTAATTTTGCCCTCCATTGAATAACTACTTTGGTGCCACTGCTGAAATTTCCAAACAAAGTAAGAAAAAGAACTTCTCCAATGAAAGAGTGACTAAACAACGAACATGTAATTTGCTGAGGAAGTTCCTCCACAGAGGATTCATTGTGTTACGATGTTTTGCTGACCTGTGCTCCTTCAGGAGATGGGAAGCGGCGCACTGTCATGGGTGGGATAGGAGAGCCACATTCCTGGCAGAAGTGAGCCGAGGGGTCAGACAGGCGAGGTGCAGAGCAGTATGCACATCTGAAAACAACAGCAAGCTGGCTGATCTTGTTTTGGTGACGTACTGGTGGGTAACAGTGAAAAATCTGGAACCATTTGTGTCTGGACTTAGGCCGCTGATTTGTAAATTGTGGCTCCTAGTCTATGGTGGCTCACCAGGCCGTTCCCCAGTGTCTTTTGCAGGAGGCTGAACAATGAAGAGCTTTGCAAGGTGGAAGCTCTCTGGCTGCTGCTACAAAGTTTCATGATTTTTACTCACCATATAAGGTCTACTGACACCTGAGCTGTGTCACCTACTGTGAGTAGCTGTTTTGCTTTTCTTATTTATAGCAGAGTCTCACAGCATCATCAACTTGGTTGTTGGAAGCAATTGCTCTGTTTCTTTCTAAGGACAAAGATGTCAATGGAAGTCATTCACCTGAGGAAATCTCTCTCTCTCTGGATCCTTGCCACCTGTGTGCTTGCTAGGCTCTTCCGGCTGGGCACTGCAGAACTGGCAAACTGAAATAGAGGTAATTCTTTTGCATTAATTAATGTTTGCCAAATGCATACAAAATGCACATGAATGCATCTAGCTAATACAGCTACAGACATGTGATTTGAGACAAAGTGCATTGAAACATACTGCTTTAAGGAATATCTAATACACTTCCCATTAGCTGTATTAGTAACCCAGAGATTCTTAACAAAAAATAAAATTGTCACATCCACAACAGGATGTTTAAATCTTAGGTTTTAAACATTTGTTAATTGCAGTTTCAGTAATGTATTAGAAAGGGAATTGGAACAGTGCAGGCATTGGTAATTTGTCATGCTTGGTTTTGTCAGTACTGATAACTGCTTTCCTACTGAAGTGTGCCTTTACCCATAACTTTAAATCAGTACTGTACAGAGCAGCCAAAGGCACTAGTTTCTGAGAGGCTGTATAAAAATGATCACAGATTTTCACATCTTTCTCTTTTCTGGACAGACTTGTGCAGTTTTCCTCCATGCCCCTTTCCTTGCCTGTAAGGACTCTGTTGGTAGTGCTGAGGAATCCTCTCCATAGCCTGCTGTTCCCAAAGGGCTGCTCAGGAGCTGTGGTCCTTGCAGGGGCTTTCTTTCTGTTTCCAAGTCTAAAATCAAAGACTTGTTATTCTACTGGTATTCACTTCATACAGTTAACATATATGTCAATATGACTATTTCATACTCTCAAATTTAAAATTTCAATAGGCAAGCATATTTCTAGTCATTCATACCTGATTTTCACATCCATATTCTGGGTTAAAACAAACTGCGTGGAATTACAGGAAATTAAACTAGAAGAAACCTCTTTCCTTTCCAAAAGAGCTTCCTTTTATATTTTCCTCAATTTAGTTTTTTTTTCCTTCCTGCATTTCAAAAACCAAGAGTAAAATGCACAAACATTAATGTGATTCCCTGCTCTTGAACACTTCCATTGCTGTTAGCACAGGCTAACAGCCTTTATGTATAAAAATCCATCAAGCTTTCATTTCTGCTTTGTGGATTTATTTAAAATCTTACTGCAAATAAATTTGCAATCCTGTCAATTTAATGTCATTTTCTTGTACAAGATTGAGCATTCTTATGTTGCTCAGAAATGAATCACATTTTTTTTTTCTTTTTAATAAGCAACCTGGTATGCATAGAAGGCAATTTTTGTTCCCTATGTGCAGTGTTGAGAAATGGAAATTGGATTTCTCAGAAGATGTTTTGTCCACTGAGATGTTTTTTAGAATTATCTATATTTTAACAATGACATTAGATGAAAATCTTGCACTGTATTTTCAGCTAAGAGAAAAAAAAAGTCTATTCTGATTTCCTGCAGCAATACCATACCTTGAAATTCCTGGGGTGATTCACTCCAGGCAGGCTTGATTTCCACATCCAGACCATTTTTCTTTAGTTTTGTAGTAAACATTTCATCTTCCTTCTCCTAAGAAGTGGTTTCATTTGGAATACATAGGATTGGTTGCTTTTTGTTCTAATCCTTCCTTGCTGTAGTTATTTGTTATGATTTTAAAGCCATATAATTAAAGTATTTATTTTCATTGTAAGCATTTGAAAAATTTAGAGGATAAATGTATTTTAAGTATATTTAACCCAAATTGGTCATGACAGAACAGTGAGAAAAGAAAAAAACATTTCATTTTATAAATTTCATTTTATAAAAAGGATTGAGGCTGCAAAGATGAGCAACGGGGAAAATAAAATATGTAAAAAATACAGGCAGTCAAGGTTTAATCTCTAAGCACTATCATACATCAAACTTTCTATATTCAGATGAGAGATTACAATTGCTAAAACTTGCCTGTGTTGTGACATCTTTTAGGAACTTCTTGTCGTCGTCTTCCATAGAGAAGAGGATGTTTGGTTGCTTGTACTCTACTAGAAACACCTTTGTTACAACAGCACTCTCCCTGCAGTCCCTGAAAGTCAATGAATAAACTATTAATGAATAAAAAGCATTATGAGAAAGCAACCCAGAAATCTCCTGGCCAGGGAGATTGCTGCCTCTTGTTTGCTAAGTACAAACTTCATTAGACCGCACGGCTTCAAGCCTCTGCTGCTTTTTGTCCCATCCAGAACAGAAATAAATTAGACCAGGATACTTACTTGGTAACTGCAAGAGCCTTGACTGTTATTTTCCCAACTGGTAACGTGATAGGACTCTTATACTTAAAAGTGTTATGCTCTCCATAGCCAGGTTTCCTAAAAAGTTCTGGTTTACTTCCATCTAAAGTGTAATAAATAGAGACCTCAGGTGTATCTGAACAACACAGAGAAAGTAATTAGCCAAACTGTGCAGGAACTGGAAAAAAAACCAAACATCATCTCTACAACTCTGGAAATATCCAGTACTGTGCTTGATTTTCTCACATAATGAAGCAATTACATAAAAGTTCAGAACAAAACTGTCCTGAGACTAGCTGTTGAGAGCACTAATATACTAAAATCAGTATATTTTAGTATATACTGACTAAAGTCAGTAATATTGTTTGCATGTAAAAAAAAATGCTGGTGCAAGTATATTGGGTGTACCCAAATAGGTAATATTGCAGGGTACTTAAGGAAGATCATAAACTGCAACAGGCTGCCCAAGGAGGCTGTGGATGCCCCATCCCTGGAGGCATCCGAGGCCAGGCTGGATGTGGCTTTGGGCGACCTGCGCACAGCAGGGGGTGGAACTGGATGATCATTGTGGTTCTTTTCAATACAGGCCATTCTGTGATCCTATGATAAAGATCGCAAAGACCACAATCATCTGCAAACAACGGTATGGAGATTAAGGTTCAAACGATCGCATAACAAAAGGTTCTATGGAGGCAAAGCTGCAGTTCGTACCTGACTTTATTTCTAGCCGAGTGCTGGTGTCTATCCGGTGCTTGGCCCGCCCTGGAAGAGGGCTCCGAAGGGGTATGACCTGCG